GGAGCTCTGCAGCCTTGCAGGCTCCTCCCGCTCCATCTTCCCCTCCGTCTGTCCCCAGGGGTGGGAGCCTCTCCCTGAGACCCGCCTGGCCCCACTTTGTGAGCCCTGTAACCCCCTTTTCTTGCCCCCTCCCAGCAAAAATGGATGCTGCCAGCCCCGGGCCCAGCCCAGGCTGCCAGGACCCTGCCCTGGGAGATGCTGCCCTGGCCCTGGCCCTATGCCCGCACCTCAACGGAAGCCTGAAGATGCCGGGGCTGCCCGGGAAAGCTGGGGCAAAGCGGAGGCCGTGCTGCCGGGGTGATGCCAACGGTGACATCGTCCTGCTCTCCACCGTGTACCCCCAGCACGAGGAGTACAACCACGGCTTCCCGCTGCCCGCCACCGAGCTGGGGGCCACGGCCCTGGTCACCACCAAAACCACCCAGAACTGTGCCGGCGAGGAGAGAGCCTAAGGGCAGGGGGAACGGGGCTGGAGCGCTCTGGCTGCTCCGTGCGGACGCCTAGAACCGGTCACCGGGGCGGGCAAAGCCTTGCACAGATATGAGCTGTCTGAGGACTGGGGTTTGCCTTGAGCAAGATCAGCCTTCTGAGATGACTGCCCTTTTCCACTTTCCCATTTGTGCCGAGTCCCAAGTTACGCCTGTAAGCGCTGGAGGAAGCTGAAGCAGATCACGCCGAGTTACAACAAGTTGCCGACAGCTGCCATGGCCGTGCTGTCAGGAGGAGGCAGAGGAGATGCGGCCAGTGAGGATGGAGCGTGGTGGGGGCTGCTGTGCTGTTTGCGAGGCTGCAGTTGCACCAGGACAGGTTTGCTGCTGGATGGGTGATTCCTGGGGACACGGTACTGGAATGGCAGAAAGGAGGGGGAAAGGAAAATGGAGAGGGAAGCAGGGAGTTACATTCGGATCAAGTCCCACACTGCTGCCATTAGCTTGATTTTTGCTACTCACCTCAACAAAAGGAGGCCTGGGGCCATATGGAGCAATGTGCATCCAGCATCTGCTCCATTCACAGTCCTGCCCCCCGCTCTTCTGGATGCCATAATATCCAGGTCTCTCCTCCCTCTGGGCGCTCTCACGCGGTGGCAGGTGTCCACCAGCAGTCATGGGAATCCCCTCTGCAGTTGTGTACCCAGGGGACGGGAAAGAAGTCCATCTTCCCAAGCAGGGAGCAAGGGAGGGTAGAGGGAGGAAAAAAAAATCTGTCTTTGCTCTGACCTACAATCATTGAAGTCAGGGAGGACCAGGGGCAGGCAACGGAGATTGCTGGTCTAGAGATGCTCCATGAGCTTGTCATTGCGGCCCCAGACAACTGTCACTTCAGCTCACTGTGGCTGCAGAAATATCACGTGTCACTTGGGATGACAGGGCTCCCAGTGATGGATGTTTCCACGCCGTGCAAAACCAAGCAGGGAGTGATGTGAGCATAGATGGGATGACTTAATTTATGTGAGTGTCTTCAAGGCTTTGCCCGTGTGCCAGAGCTGACCGGCATTGCTGGTCCAAGGCATTTCTCTGTAGATGGTCTTGTTCACCCACCTGCAAGTGGCTTTACTGAGCAGGAAGGGCTCTGCTTCAGAAACGAACTCGTTAGTGTGGGTTTGCTGTTCCCCAGTAATTACAGCAGCCGAGCCCCCTGGCTGAACAGAGTCCGGCCGATGGCTTGGGTGAGAAACCCTGCTGGCCCCGGAGGGGGTGATTAGGCAATTAGAAGTGCCTTGGGGGGGGTTATTTGCATGAAGCGCCATCTCAGTGGCAGCCCGGGGCGAGCTTTTCCTTCGGTTAGGTGGCTTCCTCTCCCAGCAGACTTCGGGGACCGAGCAGAGGTGGCCAAGCAAAGTGTGGGAGCACTGCTGCCAAGCGCCAATGGGCCACCGAGGGCCACAGCTCATGGTAGGGACGCCCAGTGGCACTCTGCAGAAGAGATGTCCCTCTGATGAGAGGAAGGTGACCCTCCACCCAAGCCTGAGCTCTCTTCTGGGGCTGCAGGACCAGACACTGCCGTTGAAGGGTGACCCTCCCTCTTCTTCCCTGCCGTGGCACTGAAGCTGGACTTGTGGCATCTGTCCCATAAGGGGAACCACAGGAGCTGCCACAGGTGCCGAGGCCCAAATTCCTCACCATGACTCCTCTCCCAGACCTAAACACGCTGGCAGAGGTGAGCCTTCATCCAGCTGAGGTTCCGCATGGCCCAGGATGGGATGGGTCCCCATCTCAGCCTCTGAGCCGGGGATGGCAGAGGGGCTGATCCACGTGCCCAGAGACTGTCCCTTGGTCCAGGCACCTGTGGCTCGCTGGCAGAAGGCTGAGAGGCTCCAGAGCTGGGGTCCCAGTTGTCCGCAGTAGCCATGCTGCCCGTCGCAGGAGGGGCATCCCTGCAGCATGAATCGGGCATCTCCTCATCCCCATGCTCCGCACCCGGCCCTGTGAAGTGACTTCCAGCAACCTTTGTGCGTCTGAAGTGGGCAAATGAGCTGAAGCCAGGCCGGGGGACATTTTGGTGCTGGAAGAAGGACTGCTCGTGGGAGGCAGAGCAACCTGCTTCACGGGAGATGGGGGCAAGAGGGAAAGGAAGCAGGACTGTCAGGCTCCTCTCCCAATTCCCGCACGGTGACTGCAGTGGCTCAGCCCCGTGGATGCGCCGCCCACCCCGACTGGCATGGCAATTTGAAAAAGAAACTCCTGTACAAATCCTGTTGAAGAAGCCCCTCTTTCTGCTCAGGAAAGGGCTTCTGCTTTTATTTCTGCTAGAGCTTCAGCCAGGCGTCTTTTCTACGGGACGCTGCTGGCATCTGCAGTTCACAGAAGCGGCATTTCGATCCACATTGGATTCCTCAGCCGGCAAGTGCCCCTCGGATCCCCTCTCTTTTATGGTGTGTGAGGCATCTTTCCCACGTCCTGCCTGCCCGACTGCCAGCGTGGTGGGGCAGTGCTCCCCTCCCGCCCGGCCTGCCTGCCTGGGCCTGGGGGAGATTTGCAACCCCACCTGTGCGCGCTTCTCCGTCCTTATGTACAGGGCAGGGTGCTGTCCGTCTTGTCTGCATGGAGAACAGAGGGAATGGAGATGAAAAATATGGTTGTAAAAATTAAAGAATAAAGCAATCCCGTTGCCAATGCACGCTCAGAGGTCTGTATGGGGAGATGCCTTCTCGATCTCCATTCCCCTGGCTTCAGGGGTCTCCAGCATGGCAGTCCTGGGGGTACAGCAGGGCCTTGAGCTGGAGACGCTCCCTCTGCTCTGGCTTCACTGGCAGGTCCCCTGCACACAGGCACTTGCTTGGCTGGGGACCAGCTGAGCCTGGTCACCTCCATCCCCCTCATTGCTTCCCCGGGAGCTGGCTGACGGGATGGGGAGCAGGGTGAGTGGTTTTTGGGAGGGGGTGTTACCCGTCTTTGACTTTCCACGGCAGTTTCTCACTTCCCCCTGTGAGGCAGGAGCTGTGCTTCCTCCCCAGCCTGGCGCCCGCCCCGCTGCCCGCACAACTGCCTAGAAAGGCTGGCGAGGCCGGGCTTCACCTGGCTGCAGGGGCACAGGGTTTTGGAGAGAGCCAGGGGAAAATCTGAGGAAACCCTGTAGCAAGAGGAAGGAGCCGGGGCTAAAACCCTCCTGGCTGCAAAACCACCTCAGGCATACCCCTAGCCATTTCAACCCCACTGACCCCTCTATGATGGAGGTCACAGGGGTATTTGAGGTCCTGCAAGCCCCACCAACAATGCTGGTGGTAAAGGACGGAAGCCTTGGTGTCCCTAGGGATGGGGGGTGGTTTTCATCCCTGGTCCTGAAGGCAGGAGCCAGCTGGCCAACAGAGCGTGGTGGCACAGGGAGGGGAGGCACCGGGGGTACCCTGGCCAAGGGTCTTCTTCTGCAGCCACCAGTCACGTCTGCCAAACCCTCCTCAATCCCACAGGCTCCCTAGCCTCCAAAGTGTCTGGCTTTCCTTCCCCAGCCTCCCTGCCTGGGTCCTTTTCCCTCATTTTCTCCTCTCTCCTCCCGTTGCTGGTTCACCCACCAGTTTAGTCTCCTGATAGTTCACCCACGGGCCCAGCTACTCCAGCCCAAAACACCACCCACAGACACCCACAGACCCAGCTTGCCCCTCCAAGGGCTTTCTGTGGGTGCTGGACCTTGACAGCAGGCAGGGCAGGCAGGGTAAGGTGGGCACCATTTTATCCCATGCACAAAGCCATACTCCCATGACCAACGTCCAACAGGGTCCATCCACCTCTGGGTACAGCCTCCAATCCCCCCACTTGCTGCAAGAAGACCGGGGCTGCATGGCCACCCCATCACCCACTTGCGGGGCATGGACCTCGTCCTGCCCCACAGGAGCCCTCCCCACCACCCACTTCCCAGGGCCAGCTATTGCACACGTGGGTGCCCCTGCAATCCCTGGGGGACACCCGTGGGAGGCCGTGGGTGATGATGAGAGGCTCAGGCCCGGGGCGAACGAGGTGGCACTGACACAGCACCCTGGCCTGCACGGCTGCAGCACCGCAAGGGAGCTGCATGGGAGGCTGAATGCCCAAATGCAGCAAGGGGAGCTGGGGAGGGGCAGACAGGCTGGTGGCCAGCCCTGCTTTGGCCAGACAGAAGGGTGACAGCTGAGCCTGACTCTGTCCGGCCACGCAGCCCATCACCATGGCCTCTGGA